GTAGAGGCCGAAAACCAAGAATCACCGTCGTCTCCCAATTTTTCTCGAGACGCCGGCTGTATGGGGAAGGCCCTCGCGGGCCGCTCGCCGCGCCAGCAGCGGGTGACAGCCCGCGGCGGGCCGCTGGTCGCGCCGGCCGCGGGCGCGGCAACCTCTGCGTTTGCCGCGTGGTAGCCCCAGCCGATCCACGCGTGGCGGCCGGAGTCGGGCCGAGGGCCCGGCGGGGCAGCGGAGCCGCATGAAGGTATCCGTGGGGGTCTTGGGCAACGTTGGGGAAGAGGGGGGAGGAGGAGGGGGAGGAGGAGGGGGAGGAGGAGGAGGAGGAGGAGGAGGAGGAGGAGGAGGAGAAGAAGGAGGATGGGAAGGAGGAGGAGGAAGACCTGTGTAAACCAAAGGCTCATTAACGATGTTGGAATACATCCTCCCTCTAACCTTCATGTATTGGCCCCTACAAGGGGTCATGTCCACTGAGGAAATTGTCCCGTTGGGGGACAATCGTGCGAAAATCCTGAAGCGTGCCAGAACATCATTCTCAGGACTTCAACGCCGCGAGCTAACCTGACTGCTACGTCTTGGCGATCATGAGTATTGCCAGAACATCATTCCTGGGATTTCAGCACCGTGAATCAACGTCACTGTCGCGCCACGACAATCTTGAGTCTTTCCAAAACGCAGTTTCCTGTGTGATAACCGTGAGAAGCAGTGACACTTGTGAGTTGTTTCAAACGAGTGCGCGCCGCGCTTGGGCGAGAGCCACATTTTGAAAACGACCCGCCTTCAATCCGGCAAATCTCTTGCAATTTGTTTCAAACGAGTATGCGCGGTGCTGAGACGAGAACCACATTTTGAAAACCACCCGCCCTCAATCCGTGAAGCTCTCGCAACTTTTTAAAGCGAATGTGTCCGGCGCGAACGCGAGAGCCACATTTTGGAAACTACCTGCCCTCAATCTGTGAAGCTCCTGCAAATGTCTAAAACGAATTAACGCCGCGCGAAGGCGAGAACCACATTGTGTCGACCACCACCCCTCAATCCGTGAAGCTCTTGATTTCGGTTCAAGCGAATGTACGCGGCGCTCAGGCGAGAGCCGCATTTCGAAAACCACGCGCCCTCCATCCGTGAAGCTTCTGCAACTTTGTCAAACGAATGTGCGTGGCGCTAAGGCGAGAGCCACATTTTGAAAACGACCCGCCCTCAATCCGTGAAGCTTTTGCAAATGTGTAAGGCGAATGTGCTCGGTGCTAAAGCGAGAGTCACATTTTGAAAACCGCCCGCCCGCAATCCGTGAAGCTCTTGCATCTTTTTGCCAAACGTCTGTGCGCGGCGCTTAGGCGAGAACCACATGTTGGACACTTCCCTCCCTCAATCCGTGACGCTCTTGTAACTTTTTCAAACGAATGCGCGCAGCGCTAAAGCAAGAACCACATTTCGAAATCCACCCGCCCTCAATCCGGGAAGCTCTTGCAACAGTTTAAACCGAATGTGCGCGGTGCTAAGGTAAGAGCCACAACGGGGGCGGCTCCGGCGGCGGAAGGCTTTGGCGGCGCGCAAAAGGGGGGTAGGGGGAGGGGGGACGGCTTCTTGGAAGGAGGCTGCTTCTTAGAAGTCGCCGGCCCTACATCTTAGAAGGCGCTGGCCCTACATCTATAGACAAGGCCCGCGCCTTCTAAAAAGCAGGGGTGCTTCTAAGAAGCCTCCCCCCCTCCCCCTACCCCTCTTCTGCGATGCTGAAGGCTGGTGGGAGGCGGCGGAAGAAGAAACGAGACGCGAACCGTCGGCGGTGCGTATCGTTCGTGCTGGCGGCTGCGAGTGTGACCTCCATCGACAGGCGCGCTGTTGCTTCCTCGCGGTGCACCTGTGGAGTGCGGCTCACGTCCGATTTTTCCAGACTTTCTCTGGGAATGTGGTTCCCGTTCGTGGCTCACCCTCAAGTTCTGATTATCCAGTTATGTGGATTTCGCTAGAGATTTCCTCACAATCCACTCGGGCATGCCAACGCTGAGCGTGGTTTCGTCAGGTGCGGCAAGGGCAGTAATCTGCGGCAGCCACGCCTCGTTGCTCCATCAGCTTAGACGCAATAAATACTCCATGAAGCGTAGTCAGGTCGAATTTTTCCCTCCCGCCTCCAGCCCACTCCCTCCCTCCGCCTCCTTCTCCCCATGTCTTGGCACGTGTTGATTGCTAGACCCTGTGCGCATGTGATTCCTTCCTCATCAGAGGTGCGGCTGACCTCCACTGGGGCGGAGGGCTGGTCGCTTGAGGTGGAGCTGCAGAGGTACGGGGCTGCCTCAAGGGTAATCGGGCCATAGGCGATAAATCCGTGTTTCCAAATTTGCAATTTTGTTGTCAACTTCTGGCGTGATGTATTGCACAGTTCCAGCCCATTTGGCGATTCAGTGTTTCACGCTGCCCAGCGAGGTGTCGGCGATGCTGTGCCGCAGCAGATCCCCCCCCACAGCCCGAGCGGGCTCCCGGGCTTAAGCGTCTCCTTCAGTGTAGCCCCTCTGATAGCCGAGCCGTTGTCGCTTTGGAGTCCTCCTCTCCAGGGGCGCCACCGTGAGGGAGCTCAAGGAGACCCTGGCGGGCGCCCCCCACCTCCTGGAGCTCGGAGCGAGCTCGAAGCTCCTGGCCAGGCTGGCGACGGGCCTGCTGGTCACCGTGCCAGACTCGGCTGGCGTCAAGAAGGAGATGGTCGTCCACGGGATGCCGCCCCAAGGCCGGGACGCTGTGGACTCGCGAGGTCCCGGGGCCGGCCTGGCCCTGGAGACGCCCTCGGACGTTGTCTCCTGTGGCCTGAGCTGGATTGCCGACGCCAGGCAGCTCGGGACTGACGATGGTGAGCTGAGTCTAACCCGGATCACCGACCTCGGACCCGGCTTCTGGAGTCTCGCTCTGTCTGAGGTAGGAGCGGCGAGACCAGCACCAGCGGGCCACCTCGAGCGAGGAGGTCCCTTTTGTTTCTGAAGGTTGGAGCTGATTCCAGCGGGACGCCGAGAATCACGGGGATCACGTTACTAGGAGGGCCCTCTCTGGCTGCTCGCACTGGTGGTGGTGGTGCCGATCTTTTCCGCTTCTATGATGATGGGGATCACGGAATTCTTGTATCGGCCCCAATGCACCGAGCATTTTCGCGCATTGCTGTTTCGTAGAGGCGACCTTGTGTGATGGCCTGTGCATGCATATTGCACCGACGCAGTTGGCTTGCCCATCGGGCGACTCGCTCGCCCTCGTTCTCGTCCTCCTCACGTGAATTGTGGAAGCGGTGAGGAGAGGGGGAGCAACATGGGAAAAGCGACCGTGGTCTGTAGATGTCCGCTCGCTCGCTTCCGCTTCCCCCCCAGACTTGAAAAACATCTGCAGATCCGTGCGCCAGTCTGGGGCTCATGATGGGCCTGGCCAGCGGTGCTGTCTGGTGGTTCCCCGAGGCACCTGCCATGGGCCTGGTGCGCGGCCGCGCCGGACAGAGGCCTGGACCGCGTGCGGGCGGCCATGCTGCTCGACGACGCCCTGGAGCAGATCGCGCACGAGCCAGTGCAGCAGAGGCTCGACCTGCTGTTCGCGCGCTGCCCGCAGGGGGAGTGCCAGCTGCAGCCGGGTCCGTCGGGCCTGCCCCGCCTGCACGAGCTGGTCAGGCTGGTGTCGGGCCTCCTCGCGGAGGCCCTCGCGCCGATGCTGGAGAGGTGGAGGGGGAAGCTGTCGGAGGGCCTGCAGGTCAGCGGGGGAACATCTACCGATGCCGCCCCCGCTCCTCCTCCTCCTCCTCCTCCTCCTCCTCCTCCTCCTCCTCCTCCTCCTCCTCCTCCTCCTCCCTCGTTGCCACGGCTGGACTCGCCTCGAGAGATTGATCAGAGCGCATGCCGGGTGGGGTCCGCGGAGTGGTGGTATCAGCATTTTTACTTCCCCAACATGGGGCAACGACAGGGGGGGGCTGGCTTTGGGGGGGGATGCATCGATCTGGCATCGGCGATACATCGCTTCTAGACCGGCGATGGGCCTCCCATAGTGCCTCCGCACCTTCCCGGGGCAGGCTGGGGCTATCGGGCCCCTACCGGCGACCAATGGGCGATTGGGGGTCGACGCATCCCCCCCCCTTCTGCCTACCCCCCCCCCCTATCCTTGCCCGTCGCAGCAGGGGCTGCTGGACATGCACCGCCTGGTGCAGCCCCACGCCGAGCACGAGGAGGTCGCCGCCCGCCTCGAGCAGCTGCAGCAGAGCGTGTGGACCGGGGGGGCGGAGGCCGAGGAGGCGCAGGCCGGGCGCCGCGGGGGCCCGCGGCGCCGGCGGCAGGCGCTGCTCGCCATGCCGTGCACGCTGTTCCTGGCGTACGCCTTCCACTGGGCGCTGCCGCCGCTGGAGCGGCGCCTGAGCTCTGGCGCGCGGGCCATCGCGTTCCTGGAGGCACGGGGGGCCCAGCACGACTCGGCGGCGAGGCGGGGGGGGGGGACGAGGAGGAGAAGGCCCTCTCTCAGGAGGCGGCGGGGCTTCGCAGAGGCCCTCGCGCCGTCTCAGAAGGTTTTTCCTGTCTTCGGGAAAGGCGCAGGACACTTCCCAGAAGGCAGGGGGACCTCCGAACCCCCTGCGAAGGCCTTCTCCTTCTCCTCGCTTCCCCCCTCGCTTGTCGCCGAATGACAGCAGCTTCTGGGCGGAGGTGCGGGGGGGGGGCTGGGAGGTGCGCTTCAGCCAGCTGTAGCAGCCGACAGAAGGAGAGTGGGGTCGAGGCGTGCCGGGTGGCGAGGCGCGACCCAGCAGGAGACGCGCCGCACTGCGGTTGGAGAGGCACCTCCGAGTCGGGCCCCGGCACGGGGGAGGCGAGGGGGCGGCCCGGGGCGGCGGGGCCTTGGCTGAGGTCGCTTCTGCCTGCTGCCCTGGAGGGAGCCAGAAGCCAGCCCCCCCCCCCCGTTGCCGCCGTGCCCCGCCGCATCCCTGGCGGCGGGGGCAGGGGCGAGGGTTATGATGCTCCAACCTACTTTAGCCTTGACCACCAGAAAGTCACCACCCACCAAACCACCACAACCCAACCCGAAGGCCTCAATTTGCCTTCCATTTCCAGTTGGGGGGGGTCGGGAAACATTGAAAAAACACATGTGGAACCCGTACCCCCCCCCAACCCGAAATTGGGGTCTTCGGGTTGGGTTGGGGTGGTCTGGTGGGTAGTCAGAAAGAATCTCGAGCGCCCCAAAAAAGTACCGAAACTCAAGGGTTTTCACGTGCCGGGCCCTGGGAGGCACTCGCCCGACACTGCTTCGACACTCTGTCGACGCTCTTCTGACACTTTTCTGGGTGCTCGAAGCTATTATGTCTGGGATGTGGCCCTTCAGTAGGATGGGAATAACATAAGGAGAGGGTGTTCTTCGCTGGCCACCGGAGGCCCTCCTCCGCGAACACGGGCGCGGCCTGGGGGCCATGTGGCCGAGGTCGCGGCACGGCCGCCCGCGGCCGCTCGTCGTCTGGGTGCTCGGCGGCTCGGAGGCCTGCGAGGGCCGGCTGGCCCGCGCGGGCTACTTCGAGGATCAAGAGGAAAAAAGCACACAGACACAATGAATCGTCGATTCCCAAGAAAATATGGGAAAATATGGGAAGTGGGGGGGAAGACAGAATCCCCGAAAATATAGGAAAATATGGGGCATCTGGTTATTTGTGTGCATTTATTTGTGTGTCCCAGGGCCCCTTCAGAGGACGCGGCTGGGCTGCTGGGGCAGGGCTGGCCCGTGATGTGCATGGACTTGGTCTTCGTGGGCACCCGCAGGTCCCGCCGGTAGGGAAGCTGTCCAGAGGATGAAGGGCAGAGAGCCGCTCGCCTGCGATGCTGGGATGCTAGGGGAACGAACAAAAAATGGCATAAACATAAAAACTCGGAGGTCCGCGCGGCCCCCCCGGCGGCGCCTCCGGCGCCGCCCCTGGCGCGCTCGGCACGCCAGGGAGGGAGGTCCAGCGCGGATCCGAGAAATCCGCGCGGACCTCCGAGCATTTGATGTTTATGCCACTTTTTGTTCCCCTATAAGAGAGCCGCTCCTCGCCTGCGAGGACGGGGATGCGGCGGCGGGCGGGATCCGTGAGCACCTCGGGCTGCCCCGCTGCGCCCGTTTTGAGGCGCGGCGTGTGCCGCGTTTTCCACTCGTCCGGGTCCACGCGCTGCGCGTTTTGCTCCCTGCGTTGGCCCCATTAGGGGGCCACATGCGAACCCCCCCACCCCTCCCCCCAGCGATTTCTGAGGGGGAGGGTGGGGTAGGGTTCGCATGTGGCCCCCTACCCATGTTTGGGCGAGCGCATCGCGCGCCAGACCTATACGTCTGCAGTTTCCGTGTGGAGCTCTGTTCCAGGACGCTACGGGTTGCGTGCTGCCCTACCGAGGCGCCCTGGCGCACCCCGCCGCTCCCCACGCGGGGCGCCCTCGGCGCGACAACAGCGGTGCTCCGCTCCACAGGTCCCGTCGCGGGATGGCATCCACGGTGTTGGAGGGCAGTACTTCGAATATCCACCGGGATTCGACATGGGATCCCAGAGCTCCACGAGTGGCTCAGGCACGCCAGGAAATCCTTGGATCTGGCGCGTGAGTTCTGGCGGACGTTACTTGAGCCTCCGTGGTCACCCGCAGCTTCCGCCGCAAAAGCGGAACTACTCATATATACCACGACCTGTCGCTTCAGGAGCCCAAACCTCCAGCTTCGCCAAAATTCGCGGCTTGCACATGCCAGAAGTTTCCACACCCAGAGCCCCTTTTAAACCCTCCGCCATCGTCGCAGCACGGCCATTCGCGTATCTGTTTTAGCTTCAGAAGTCCAGACGCCCTGGAGTCCTGACCTGTTTCGTGTTGTCGGAGGTCAGGGTTGGACCCCAGGCGGGAGCGATGGAAGCGGATGGAGAGTTTTGTTGTTGTTGTTGTTGTTGTTGTTGTTGTTGTTGTTGTTGTTGTTGTTGTTGTTGTTGTTGAACATTATTAATTCTAAAGAATAATTATTGTTGGGACCCCTGGTGCGCGCCCCCCCCGCCGCGCCTAGGCCGCAGCCACATTTTCATCATTTTCGTGAGGAAGTCTCAGGCAAAACGGGGTATACCAGATCCGGTTGTGTTGTTACGATCGGTTTTCCCTTGCAAAAAATAAGGCAAAGTGGACATTTCTTGTTCTAACATGACCAAACTTCAAGAATCCCTTGCAAAAAATAAGGTAAAGTGGACATTCGCGCGCGCAAGACGAAATCCTTCCAAAACCTTAGTGTTCGTAGCGATTTTAACATAAAAACATCAAAAAAACAATGGTTTTTCAAACAAAATGTCAACATTTCATCCCGCGCGCTCTTGCGGATTTGTAGGAAACCCAACACTTTTAAACATTTCTGTCAAACGGGCTTTTGCGAGCAACTTTTTCACGTGCTTCGAACTTCTCCAACAACGGTTGCGCACCTGCCAGGGCCATCATCCCTGTCAAATAATACCATGCGGGACACATTCGTTTTTTCTTCGCGCGCGCACGCCGAAATCTTCAAAAACCATTGGGTTTCTTAGGAATTTTAGCACCGCGCAACATAAAATCATACGAATCGCACCGTAGGTCCTCGAAAAACATCTGTACGAATTTTCAAAATTTCTACCCGCGCGCGCTGTCCGAATCCTAAAAAACCAATGGTTTTTCAACATTTATGTTACATGAGCTCGCGCGAGCTACTTTCGCAAGCTCTTTCAACGGCGTTCGCGCGCCTGCCAGGGGCCACTGTACCCATGCGCCAGTGTAGTAGCCACGGTCGTCCGCAGGCCACGAAGTGAAGTGTCCGAACGTCATAGGGCGGGAAGCTGGGTGTGGGTGGTGGCGAAGAGTCGTTTGGAAATGTGGTAGAGCTTGAACCGGCCCCCCCACAAAGTGGGGGTATTGGCGGGCGTCGTATGAAAACCCTGGCACTGGTGAGAACGGAGTGTCCCCACGTGCTAGTAATTGTTGTTGTTGTTGAACATTATTTATTCTAAAGAATAATTATTGTTGGGCCCCCTGGTGCACGCCCCCCCTGCGCCGCCTAGGCCGCAGCTACATTTTCATCATTTTCGTGAGGAAGCCTCAGGTAAAACGATGTGATCCAGATCCGGTTGTTTTGTTGTAATCCGTTTTCCCTTGCAAAAAACACTATAAAATGACATTTCTTGTTCTAATATAATCAAATTTCAAGAATCCCTTGCAAAAAATAAGGTAAAGTGGACATTCGCGCGCGCAAGACGAAATCCTTCCAAAAGCTTAGTGTTCGGAGCGATTTTAACATAAAAACATCAAAAAACCAATGGTTTTTCAACAAAAAAATGTCAAAATCTCATCCCGCGCGCTCTTGCGGATTCGTAGGAAACCCAACACTTTTTAAACATTTCTGTCAAACGGGCTTTTGCGAGCAACTTTTTCGAACTTCTGCGACAACGGTTGCGCACCTGCCAGGGCCATCATCCCTGTCAAATAATACCATGCGGGACACATTCGTTTTTTTTGCGCGCGCACGCCGAAATCTCCAAAAACCATTGGGTTCTTAAGAATTTTAGCACCGCGCATCATAAAATCACACGAATCGCACCGTAGGTCCTCGAAAAACACCTGCACGACTTTTCAAAATTTCCACCCGCGCGCGCTGTCCGAATCCTAAAAAAACCAATGGTTTTCCAACATTTATGTTACATGAGCTCGCGCGAGCTACTTTCGCACGCTCTTGCAACGGGGTTCGCGCGCCTGCCAGGGGCCACAATCCCTTGCGGTTGCGCCATAGGTTGCGCCCTCGGCCGCCGAGAATAAAACGCCCCCCTATTGGTTGCGCCATAGGTTGCGCCCTCGGCCGCCGAGAATAAAACGTCCCCCTACTGGTTGCGCCATAGGTTGCCCCAGGAGGCCTTCAAGAGGCCCCAAGAGCCCGCCGTGAGGACCCAATAAGCCCCCAAGAGGCCCCAAGATGCTTCCAAGAAGCCCCCCAAAGCCCCTCAAGAGGACCCCAAGCGGCGCCAGGAGGCTTCCCCCCTTCCCCAAGAGGACCCCAAGCGGCCCCAGGAAGCCTCCGACTGATCACTGGCACATCCGTAGCCATCTCGGATCAAGGTATCGCCTGTGTTCTTGGATGGTCCATAGCTTTGACGGCGAAAGCCCTTGACGACCAGTATGGCCCAGAGCTGTCGCGGCCTCCCTTGGCCGACTGCGAGAGCCCGTATTATTTGCATCAGGCGCTCGATGCAAAGGGTATCCAGGTCAGTCACCAGGCGTGCAAGACTTGGTGGGGCAAGTATCGGGTTGTGCCTGGCAAGGTTAGTATTTCTAGCGCCCAGGAGCTGGAGGAGCAGCACGGTTCTGCCATCCGCCACCTGGGCATCGAGTATAATACAGCTTTCAAATTATGCGGGGCGCTCCGACAGTTGGATCCATGATACGTGAGTACGTATCATGTGTATCATGTGTATCATGTACCATATGCATCATATGCAACAGATGTTCTGTGGAAGGCTTAACAACTTCTGTGGGTTAACAAGGCTTAACAACTTCTGTGGGTGTACGAACGTAGGCTTAACAACTTCTGTGGGTGTGTACTCCACGCCAGTGTAGTAGCCACGGTCGTCCGCAGGCCACGAAGTGAAGTGTCCGAACGTCATAGGGCGGGAAGCTGGGTGTGGGTGGTGGCGAAGAGTCGTGTGGATATTTGGTAGAGCTTGCACTGCCCCCCCACAAAGTGGGGGTATTGGCTGGCGTCGCATGAAAACCCTGGCACTGGTGAGAACACTGAGCGTTCGGGTAAAGTGATTGTTGTTGTTGTTGTTGTTGCTGTTGTTGTTGTTGTTGTTGTTTATTTTGTTTTTACCCTCTGGGCCATAACGCTTGGTATGCCCCCGCCCCTCCCCCCCTCTCCCCCTCCCCCCCTTGCAACCCCCGTTCCCCCGCCCCCCAGTGCGTCCCCGGCACTGCAGTGCGTCGCGTCCAGCACCACGGCTTGGTGCCAGATCCGCACGGCGGGGGGAGCGCGTAATTACGTTAATGACCCGCCCCCCGCCCCTCCCCCTCCCCCCCCAGAACGCCCGTGACCGCCGCGACTACGATATTTTTTTTGATCCGCGGGTCGAGAGCGCACCTCTTCCGGTCGAAGCTAAGCGGGCCGCGCAGAGCTTGAATTACGCAGAGAAGGGGGAGGAGAAGGGGGCGCAGCCTCAGAATGAGGCCGGGAGGAGGCAAAGCCTCGGAACGCGACTGCGATACACGCTCTCACGGTGTTCACCAGCCCCGGGGGGCGGGCAAAACTCAGGAGGGGAAAAAACATGCAGACACAATTGATCGTCGATCCCCAGGAGAATATGGGAATATATGGGAAGCGGGGGTGAAGACAAAAACAGAGACAATATGATGAAGTATGGGGAATCCTTTTATTTGTGTGTATTTATTCTCTTGCACAGGGTGTCTAGAGCTCCGACCACTTTATTTCGGCGTCGTCGTCGCTCCCCCTCAGCTGCCTTGTGCCCTTCATGTGTCGCTATATGTGTCGCTGTGTGCCTTGTGCCCTTCATGTGCCGCTATATGTGTCGCTGTGTGTCGCTATGCGTCTCCATGTGTGCGTCGCTATGTGTCGCTGTGTGTCGCTATGCGTCGATATGTGTGTGTGTGTGTCGATATATGTCTCTATATGTCGATATGTGTCGACATGTGTCGCTATGTGTCGCTCCCCAGCACCCCAGCGCACCGCCCCCTCCGCCCCGACGACTTTATTTCGGCGTCGTCGTCGCCCCCCCCCCCTCTCCCTCTCCTCAGCAGCCCAGCGCGCTGCCCCCTCCGCCCCGACCACTTTATTCGGCGTTGTGTCGACATGTGTCGCTATGTGTCGCTCCCCAGCACCGCACCGCCCCCTCCGCCCCGACGACTTTATTTCGGCGTCGTCGTCGCCCCCCCCCCCCCCCTCTCCCTCTCCTCAGCAGCCCAGCGCGCTGCCCCCTCCGCCCCGACCACTTTATTTCGGCGTTGTGTCGACATGTGTCGCTATGTGTCGCTCCCCAGCACCCCAGCGCACCGCCCCCTCCGCCCCGACGACTTTATTTCGGCGTCGTCGTCGCCCCCCCCCCCCTCTCCCTCTCCTCAGCAGCCCAGCGCGCTGCCCCCTCCGCCCCGACCACTTTATTTCGGCGTCGTCGTCGCCCCCCCGGTCCTTTTCCCCAGCAGCCATGCGCACCGCCCTCTCCGCCCCGACCACTTTATTTCGGCGTCGTCGTCGCCCTATTTCGGCGTTGTGTCGACATGTGTCGCTTTCCCCAGCAGCCCAGCGCACCGCCCTCTCCGCCCCGACCACTTTATTTCGGCGTCGTCGTCGCCCTATTTCGGCGTTGTGTCGACTGTGTCGCTATGTGTCGCTCCCCAGCACCCCAGCGCACCGCCCCCTCCGCCCCGACGACTTTATTTCGGCGTCGTCGTCGCCCCCCCCCCCTCTCCCTCTCCTCAGCAGCCCAGCGCGCTGCCCCCTCCGCCCCGACCACTTTATTTCGGCGTCGTCGTCGCCCCCCCCCCCCCCCCCCGCCCTGTCCTTTTCCCCAGCAGCCCAGCGCGCCGCCCTCTCCGCCCCGACCACTTTATTTCGGCGTCGTCGTCGCCCCCCCCCCCATCCCCCTCTCCCGAGCAGCCCAGCGCGCCGCCCTTTCGCCCCGACCACTTTGTTTCGGCGTCGTCGTCGCCCCCCCCCCCCTTCTCCCCAGCAGCCCAGCCCAGCGCACCGCCCCCTCCGCCCCGACCACTTTATTCTCTTGCACAGGGTGTCTAGAGCTCCGACCATTTTATTTCGCGTCGCTCCCCCCCCCCCCGCGTCCTCAGCGCCAGAGTGGGGCCCCCGCGCCGTGGCTCTCTGCCCCAAGCCCCCCCGCGTCCCCAGCGCCCCAGCGGGGGCCCCGCCCACTGCCCCCTCCGCCACGAACGCTTTATCCCGCGTCGCCCCCCCCGCCCCCCCGCGTCCCCAGCGCCAGTGTGAGGCCCACGCGCCGTGGCTTTCTGCCCCGAGCCCACCGCGTCCCCAGCGCCCCAGCGGGGGCCCCGCCCACTGCCCCCTCCGCCACGAACGGTTTCTCCCGCGTCGCAGCTCCCCCCCCTCCCCCGCGTCTCCAGCGCCAGTGTGGGACCCCTGCGCCGTGGCTCTCTGCCCCAAGCCCCACTGCGTCCCCAGCGCCCCAGCGGGGCCCCCGCCCACTGCCCCCTCCGACACGAACGCTGTATTACACGTCGCACCCCCCCCCTCCGCGTCCCCAGCGCCAGAGTGGGACCCCCGCGCCGTGGTTCTCTGCCCCGAGCCCCCCCGCGTCCCCAGCGCCCCAGCGGGGGCCCCGCCCACTGCCCCTTCCGCCACTAACGCTTCATCCCGCGTCGCGCCGCACACCACCTCCCCCACCTCCCTCCCCGCGTCCCCAGCGCCCCAGTGGGGACTCCGCCCCGTGCCCCCTCCGCCCCGACAATTTTATTCCGCGTCGCGACGCACGCCACCTCCCCCCCTTCCCCCCCTTTCCCCAGCGCCCCAGTTGGACCCCCGCCCCGTGGCCCTCTGCCCCAAGCCCCGCCCAGTGCCCCCTCCGCCCCGACAGTTTATTCCGCGTCGCGGCACACACCACCACCCCTCCTCTCCGCGCCCCCAGCGCCCCAGTGGGACCTCCGCCCCGTGCTCCCTCCGCTCCGAGCACTTTATTCCGCGTCGCGACGCACGCCGCCTCCCCCACCCTCCCCACCTGGGACTTGGGCCCCGTTGCTGGGCCCAGAGGGCGATGCCTTGCCCCCTCTTCCCCTCTCCTTCTCCTCCTCCTCCTCCTCCTCCTCCTCCTCCTCCTCCTCCTCCTCCTCCTCCTCCTCCCCCTTCCTTTTTGTGCAAGGGCTATGGCACACGTGCCACTTGTTTGCGAATGTGTCCCAGGGCCCCTTCAAAAACGTGGCCTGCCACCGCCCGCCAGGGCCGAGCGCGCTCCCCGGCAGCCAGCGCCGATAGGTGGGAGGGCCTGCCGTGTGGCCGGCGGGCGCGCGCGAGCTCGGTGGTGGAGCCCTTGGCCGAGGGCGCGCCGCCGCCGGACCTGGCCGTGCTCCTGAACCCCGGGCTGGGCGAGCTCGACGAGGCGGGCGCGCGGGCGCTGGACCCTCGCGGCTGAAGCACTCGGCCACGCGCAGAGGGGGGCAGGGGGAGGGGGGGAGGCTTCTTAGAAGCTTTCCCCCTCTTCTCAGAAGGCGCGGGCCTTTTTTTTTTTGTTTCTCTCTCTCTCTCTCTCTATCTATATATATATATATATATTTATAAATGCAAGGCCGGCGCCTTCTAAGAAGCAGCCTGCTTCTAAGAGGCCTTCCCCCCTCCCCCTACCCCCTTGTGCGCGCCGCCAGAGCACGGGCGCGGCGGCCGACAGCTCGCGGCCGATCTCCCTCCGAAGCTGCGGGTGCCGTGGTCGGCGGCCTGCTGGGGGACGCGCGCGCCTGTCTCGGCCGGACCTGGGGCTCAAGGGGGCCCCCGCGCCCTCGCGCTCCCTCGCTCTCGCCTCTATATGCGCGCAGCGCCGGCGTCGAGCACCTGTGGGTGCGCCCGCGCGCACGCGTCGGCTGGCGGCGTGCGGCCCGTTGCGCCGCCCGTGCCGGGGGGGCCTCCGCAGGATCTCCGGGGAGCCTCCATGGCGCGTCCGGAGGGCCCCGAGCGGGCCTCCCAGGTCGGGTGCTGCTAGAAGCGCCCCTGGCCCGAGGTGCCCCCATGGGATGCTCGGGGTGGCCCAGACGGCCTCCAGGGCACCCCTCACGAGGCCCAGAGGGCCCCAGGGGGCTCCGAAGTGGAGCGAAGAGCTGGGGGCACCTTGGGCCAGGGGCACTTCTAGCAGCACCCGGCCCGGGGCGCTCGTCGGGCGGGGGAGGTCGGTCCGGGGCGCCGGGCGCCTGGCCCCGGGCCCAGCGCGCCCGCTGAGGTTGCAAAGGTTCAGCCGAGCGTGTCCCTCTCCAGGAGGAGTGTGCAAAGATAGGCCAAACATAGTCTGGGGACGAGAGGTTTCCATTATTCTTGGGCCACCTTCGAGTAAAAATTGTGGAGTGTTGGTAAGTTTTCCTTGAAGATCTACTTGTCTGGGGGACATGCCCGACCTAGGGTTCAAGTTGCCGAGCAAGAAGCCCCTGGAGGCTCACGCGCGCCACGCCCCCCCCCCCCCCCCTCCGGCCTGGCCCGACCCTGGGTGGCGCGGGAGTTGCAGCAGATCGGGGGCCTGATCTTGAAGAGCCTGCCCTCCTCCGACATTCACAACTGTCTGACGGTGGTGAAGCAGTTCTCAGTCTTGAAGGGTTCGTTCGTCCACCCATCCTCTCAAGGCACGCTCCCTCCTCGTCCCTCCTCCTCCCTCCCTTCCCCCCCTCCTTCCCCCTTCCCTTCCCCCCCTGCACCTCCCACTCCCCTCTCGGTCGTCCTCCCCGCCCCCCCCCCTCCACTCGCGCAGGCTCGTGTGCGTGGGAGTGGCCAGTGGAGACTCCCCCCTGCAGGACTCCCTGCTGCCCCAGATCGGGCCGCTCCTCGACGGCAGCGTCTGCTCCGAGGGCGGAGGTCCTCGTGCGGCGAACAAGGGGGGGGGGCAGGGAGAGGGGGGGCACGAAGTCGGAGAGAAGAGGAAAGGGAAGGAGGGGGAGAGCGGGGGGAGAGGGAAAGAGAGGGACAGGGGCAGGGGAAGCTCGGGACGGTCGAAACGGGTACGGAAAGAATGGGCACAAAGACCGACAGCTTTGCTGGGTCATCTCTGTCGGTGTCGCCGCGGACGTTGTCCATTTGAGACGGAAGGCCGCATGCCCAACTGCGGCTGCTGTCGGTTTTCGGCAGCATTTTTCTTTGGAGGTCGTACTCATTTTTTCTGTGCGTATCCTTCTCTGGCGCCCCAAAACGCTGCTGCGTGCAGCCGGCTTCGGCCCGCCGCCAGGCGCTTTCCTCGAGACGTTTGCGCCCCCTGGCCCCCGGGGGTGCCGGGAAAGCCAGCCGCGCGAGCTGATCCGCTGACTGCCCCCCCTGGACCACCGCCCCCGCCCGGCC